TTCAGTAGTGCAAGGTGAGTCTCCTCACTGTGTGCATGGGTCTACGGCCACAATGTCGACCCATTTAGTTTATGTATGGTAGGAAGACCCGGGGGTTAGCCCTGGGCATTGTATGATAGTATGTTTCCGGACCAAGGTCCGATGTCGGGGCAAGCCCGAGGAATGTTAGTATGTTAGTTATACTTGTTGTCTGTGTGATACTTGTATGTGCATGGTAGGGAGGTAAGTGGGGGTGAGGTCCCGTATATCATCACTAGCTGAGTATGGATGGGGTATCGTATCTCTTTAGTAGCAGAGCAGGGGAGGGCCCGAGATAGGAGAGAAGTGAGTGTGGGCGGGGGCGGGGGCCCAATTTATGTCGGACTTCGGTCCGATGCCGGGTGGGGCCCGATGCAGTGGGCAAGGCCCAGTATGTGTTATATGTGTTATATGTATGGTATGTGGTAGTATGGGGAACTCACTAAGCTTTGTGTTTACGGTTTTCAGTTTTGGTTTTAGGTACTTCTAGTAGCGGAGGGAAGAGCTCGGGATGACTGCATTGCACACACCATGATGTTTTAGCCTGTGATGTTTTACTCTGATATGATATGTTTAGACATAATACTCTGATTAAATATGTTTTGAATGAATGGTTTGACAATTATGGATTTTATTAAGGTTTTAAAATGTAATTTTTGGTCATGATTTTTGGGATGTTACAGGACCATTGAGTTTGACCTTTGACTTTAATATTTGACCGAGTTTGACTTGTAAGGGGTATTGGGGCATTTTGAGTTGTATTTAAGGAATTGTTTCTGTTTAGGGGTTGAGTAGAGATGATATTCTGAGCCGGGACCTAGTCAGCTATCGTTCAGTATTCAATGTGAGTCTTCTCACTACACTCATGGGTCGAAGGCACCAAGGCCGGCCCATTAACTGTTATGTGATGATTTGTATTGGAATATGGAATTGTTTGCTATCTGATCTATATGTGGACTTATATGAAGACCATGGGAGGAGCCCATGGCCCAGGGATATAAGACCATGGGGGTAGCCCTGTCATTCTGTTGAAGACCATGGAGGGAGTCCATGGGAAAACTTATATGTATGTGTGCATGACATTATGCGATTTTATGTTTGCGTGTTTGGGAAACTCACTAAGCATGTGCTTACAGTTTGGTTGGATGTTTCAGGTGCTTCTAGTTCTAAGGGCAAGGGCGCGGCTTGATGGCACGACATGCATTCTCCAGTGTTTTCATATTTGGTTTTGATAGTCAGATCTTTTAAAACACTATGGTTATGTAATGGGATTTTCTGGAAACAACTGTGGTTGGTATTTATGATTATAAAAGTTAAAATTTTCTGTAAAATTTTTGGGCTGTTACAGAAACCAGTTTTTGTGCAAAATTTTAAAACATGCATATCTCATTCGTTTGAAGTTGGATTGACATGAGGTTTTTTCCAGAGTGTAGTTTATAGTTTTTACATGATTTTCGACTATAATTTTGTAATTTTTGGTTTCATATTCATTGAATTATAGTCCCCTAAAGTCGGGATATCAAAGCGGAAAGTTTTCTATTTTTCAATTTTTTTTGGTATTCTATGAAATTTTAAAACATGCATATCTAATTTGTTTGAAGTCGAATTATCATTAGGTTTTTTCCAACGTGTAGTTTAGAGTTTGTACATGATTTTAGACTATAATTTTGTCATTTTTGGTTTAATATTCAATGACTTATAGTCCTCGTAATCGGGATATCAAAGTTGAAAGTTTTCAAAGTTCAACCCACAAAATAATTACCAAAAAATTCCGGTTTTCCGGTTCTAGACTTACTTGACGTGGTTCCATCCGACCTACTTTGATGTTTTCGGGTTATCCGGTTCTATACCCACTTTACCTGGTACCTTACCCGGAACTGAACCGGAACCGATTCCTATATAGCAGTCCGATTTTCGGTCCTACAAAATCCCGTTAACCGGTTACTGGGTTTTCTGGGGCTGGTTTGGACCCACTTTCATCCGTATACTATACAACCTATTAAAAGAAGTATTAAATAGAAATGAGAGGGAATTGTACCTAGTAATGCAATAGATAAACTCGATAGTCGAAAACAAAATATATGATAAGCAGAAAAAATCGTTGAAAGCACGGGAAAGTGCCTAAAGTCACTGAAGATTACAATTAAATCGAGAGCCATTATTGATATGATATTGAAGAAATGGATTTTTCTTAATGATAATGTTGATTTTCTTTCTAATTTGGTGGTGGTTTATTGAATTTCTATCTTATCGACTAACAATTCAGTTCTTGCCTTTTCTGCATCGGTCAATGAAGATTATGATGATACTGAATTTTATCATAAAGATGTGTAAATAATCATTCTAAAATAAAATAAAAAATGAAAGAATTCAAGACCTTGCTAAAAAAACTAGTTAAGGGGGGATCCCACTCAATTTAGCCGGACAAAACAATACGTACCCGTCTAACAAGATAAAGCAAGCATCAAGTATCTACCAGACTAATTCCTACCGGGAAAGAGAATACAACAAAAGCATCTTGTATCTACGCTACTTGGAATACACGGTCCTAAGAAAGATTAAGATCTTATGGGACAATAAATTTATATAAATAAATAATACAAGTACAAAAGCACCACAACCCTACAACAATATAATAAGCTAGGAGAACAACCATTGAAGTCAATACCACCATAATTTAGGGTTACAAAACAAAAATCAGGAAGAGAGTACCTTGATACGACCACCACAAACAAGGAAATTATGAAATTAAGCTCAACGCAATATCCGATCTCAAAACGATAACTAGGCAAGGAAAGGTGTGGGGAACTAGAAGCGGCCTTTACAATTTAAACTTTGGGAATTTTTTATTTTGGGGGGAAATAGAAGCTGGCAACAAAAAAATCCAATTTTTCAGTGATTTAGTGGCAGATAAAAACATGTTCCACTAAAAAATTGTGCCACTAACTGTAATTTTGTTTGTAGTGAAGGAGGGAAAATACCAAAAGAAACCCCCGACCATGTGACATAAGCTTCCCTCTATAAATATAGACGGTAAACAACACATGAAGATAGACTCAATTTTTTCTACTATACACTTTACCAATACCCTTTGATCTAACTTAGGTATCGAAGAGTATGATTGTGATCCATATCGGTAATACTCCTCACTTATTTCTCATATTTGAGAGAATGAGAGGATTAAACATCACCGATTAGGAAGAAGAGTGGAGGAGAATCATTAGCGGCACCAAGTAGGAAGAAGAGAGGAGGAGAGCTTTGGTAGCATCATTGCCGCCGCTAGTCAATGTCTATTTTATGTACAACCATTTATTAGCAAAATAAATATGTTAATATTCTTAGAAGTAGGCAAATTGGAGTCTTGTTAGAAATATTTATCAACAAGATTTGCTTAGAATATGATTAAAACTAATACATTACGTCACAACGAATATGTAAATCAAAAAAACAAAAATATGCTTCTTTGCCTGTTTTACTTATTACTTTTTATTTTACATGCCAAAATGCAAATTAACTCTTTAAACAAAATTTTCTTTTTAGGGATATTCAACATTAAAAATACGATAATTTTTGGTAATCAAGCATTTGATTTGGAATAACGTCAAATCTAGGATATGTTAGTGCATGCACTACTAGAAAAAAGAGAAATAGAAGAGATAAAATACGGTTATTAGGAGTTCCTTATTAGGAAAGGTTCATTTATCTCGTTACATATAACATGGTATTATATATTCAAAATTCATGCAGTCAAGAAATGGGAAAAGAAGAAAAAAGGTGCGGTGAGTTTCTACCACATTGTGGCCGAGACCGCACCCACAGGGAGGTGTTCCGTTTCCACGGTGGCAAGACCTCACCCCTACCATTCCCCCAAGCCTTAAAGTGCGATTAAAGGAGAATGAACACGCTTTTCATTAAAGAGTAACACGTGTTAAAATTAGAAATCTTAATTAGATCGTTTTTGGATTTTTAAACAAATATGACCAGCGTATGTTTGCCGATATCAGTACCATAACCACCAGCGACTATTGCCGCCACCGCCGGCTACTGTTGCAGCCATCGCCGGCGACTGTTTTCGCCACCACCCTGTTTTGCTGTTTGAATCTATAGTATCCTAGCTATTCTTTTCAACTTGTCTGTGGCTTCAGTCTCTGTTTAAATTCTTCGAGGTAAAAATGTACTATTTCTTATATGTATGCATAAAGAGCTTCTCTTTCAATCATTTATTTTACTTGTTTTCGTATTAAATTTTGAACGTAACAGTTAATTTGTGTATTTAATAACAATTTTGTACATTTATAGTTATCCGACAAGTGATGTTTTCTGGACAAATATTGTGATTTCAATTAAAGAATTGGTTTGGGTTATAATTGGCAACTGTAATTGTCGCTGTATTTAAGTGCTTGAACGTATTTTGTGAATAACTCTTGAGGATACAATACAACCAGAGGAGTAATTTAGGTGGGGTTTGAACTTTGAAAGTCAAAAGACTTGGTTGCATTTTGTATTTGTTTTACCTTAGTTCTTAGGCCATTAAGGGCCTTTATTATAAAATGAATAATTAAGCCCAATTTAGCAGACTAAATTTATTGTCCATCAAAAATCCTTGGGGGCATAGGCCCTGCTGTTAGTAAATCAGATTAATAAAATGCCTAAAAATTAAAGAAGATCCGTTCAATAATAGATACAAGTTCTTAACTTTAGCCAAAATTAAGAGAAAAAGTCAACTAAATATCATGCTTCTATTCTTGGTTATATCAAACTTATTTACTCCTTGTTGGCAAATCCAACAATGCTGCTTAGAAGTAATCCCCATAGCTACTTACTATGTAAGAATTTTTTTTAGCTTAGCCCTTTCCCAAAATCCAAAAAGAAAGGTCATTTGCCAAATATCATTAATAAAGCTCTATCCAAAAACGTCCTGTGTGCTATATATAGAATATACAAACATTCAACAAGATATATACTCAAATTCTTCAATAATCATGGATAGGAAGAGATATCACTTCCTACCAGAACTTTCTTTTTTGTTGGTTCTTACTTTCACCAACATCTTTGACACCACTTCTGCGAATTCCAACCAAGCGGATACCTATATTGTCCACTTAGATTCTCCTAACAACATTGTGTTTGCTAAACCAGAAGACCGTGAAAAATGGTACAATTCTTATTTGTCTGAAAGCAGCACTGGATCGGATGAAAAACCGAGCATGATTCATGCATATCACAGTGTGTTCACTGGGTTTGCAGCCAAGATGTCTGTTGATCAAGTAAAAGCCATGGAAAACATGGATGGATTTGTATCTGCAAGACGTGAGAGGGTGTACAAGCTGCATACAACACATACTCCCAGATTCTTGGGATTGCATCAAAATCTAGGATTATGGAGAGGATCAAACTATGGAAAGGGAATCATAATCGGGGTTCTAGACACTGGAATTACACCAGGTCATCCTTCTTTTGATGACAAAGGAGTCCCTCCTCCTCCTCAAAAATGGAAAGGTAAATGTGAAGTTGCAGGGTGTAACAACAAGTTGATTGGAGCAAGGGATTTTACTGATAGTGCTTCTGGTTCACCTCTTGATGATGAGGGACATGGGACCCACACTTCTAGTACTGCTGCTGGGAACTTTGTTGATGGGGCGAATGTCTATGGAATGGCTAAAGGCACTGCTGCAGGAATGGCACCACTTGCTCACGTGGCCATGTATAAAGTGTGCGATGATTTTGGGTGTTCTGATAGTGCTATCTTAGCAGCCATGGATGCCGCCATTGAAGAAGGAGTAGATGTGCTTTCACTCTCACTTGGTGGAGCTTCTGTTCCATTTTATGAAGATGGTATTGCAGTAGGTGCATTCAGTGCTATTCAAAAAGGAATCTTTGTAAGTTGTTCAGCTGGAAACTCCGGGCCTTTCAATTCAACTTTGTCAAATGAAGCCCCATGGATACTCACAGTTGGTGCTAGTACCATTGATAGAAACATTAGAGCAACCGTTTATCTTGGAAACAAGGACTTGCTAGATGGAGAATCTTTATTCCAACCAAAAGATTTCCCTCAAAACTTTATGCCTCTGGTTTACCCAAGTTTGACCGGTGGTCAACAGGCAGCATGGTGTGCGAAAGGATCATTAACATCCATCGATGTCAAAGGAAAAGTAGTAATATGTGATAGAGGTGGTGGTGTAGCAAGAATTGACAAAGGACAAACAGTAAAAGACGCAGGAGGAGCTGCAATGATTCTCATAAATCAAGTAACCGATGGCGATTCTACAGAAGCCGATGCTCATGTTCTTCCTGCATCACATGTTGGCTATTCAGATGGTGTGTCAATCAAGACATATTTGAATTCAACCTCATCTCCTGATGCCACCATCATCTTTCGTGGAACTGTAATTGGTGTAACTACAGCTCCTGAGGTTGCATCATTCTCATCCAGAGGGCCCAGCGTGGCAAGCCCAGGAATCGTGAAGCCCGACATTATTGGGCCTGGAGTTAGCGTTCTTGCAGCTTGGCCTGTATCTGTTGAAAACAAGACCACAAATTCAACATTTAACATGATTTCAGGCACATCAATGTCATGCCCTCATCTTGCTGGGATTTCAGCATTGTTGAAAAGCGCACATCCTGATTGGTCTCCTGCAGCTATTAAGTCAGCAATCATGACATCAGCAGGTCAGGTAAACCTAAATGGTGACCCAATTGAGGATGAGAGAGAGCTTCCTGCTGACATTTTTGCCATAGGTTCTGGGCATGTCAACCCATCAAAAGCTAGTGATCCTGGATTGATTTTTGATATACAACCCAATGACTACATACCTTATTTGTGTGGTTTAGGATATACAAGCAAACAAGTTGGAATCATCGTGCAGAAAAGAGTTACATGCTCAAAAGTAATTCCAGAAGCACAGCTCAACTATCCTTCCTTTGCTGTTACTTTAGGAGTAGGGGATGCCAAAACTTTTACAAGGACAGTGACTAATGTTGGTGAAGCTAATTCAACTTACACCATAACAAGTTCTTCTATTCCAGATGGTCTAACTTTAGGTATTGGCACTGGGGGGCTTAAATTCACTGCATTGAACCAAAAAGTGACATTTGAAATGTACTTCATACGGGATAGTCAGTATGTGGTCAAAACTCCATATGCGGAAGGATCTATCACTTGGGGTTTTGGTAAATACTCTGTTAGAACTCCATTTTCTATCAAGTTTGTGTGAGGGGAATTAATTAACAACCAACGTGGTGATACAGAATCAAATAAATTTTCCAAGTTTTTGTTCAATTCCACTCTCTTTCTGGCTTGTTTCCATTGATGAAGAGCATGGTAGTTCACCATTAATAATACTTTTGTTATTCATGATCATATCATTCCACTAGCAACTGTGAGCATTTAGGTGCTATTTGATTTTCCGAAGCAAAAATTCATGAAGTCTGCGGACCACCTCTGCAACCCTCTGCAGTAGAAGAGGTAGACCAAACGGTTGCAGAGTGTAATAAGAAGCGTGTTTGTTTTTTTAACATCTGCATACTGCTGCAGATATTAAAAAATTAAAATAAACTAATTTTATAAACCGAAAATAGTTTTTTAATACGTAAAATTTAATAATGTATAACATTTCGGCAACAATTAATAATATTTCAGTAAAAAATAATGATATTTCAACAAAAAAAATAAAGATATTTTAGTAAAAAATAATGATATTTCATTAATAAATTATCATTATTAAATATAAAAAAACGAAAAAAAAATCAACAAGAATAAACAAAAAAAAACAAAAAAAAATGGTGAAATAAAATTTCAATAACATATTATCAAAATTACAGCAAGAAAAAAAGAAGAAGAAGAGGTTGGAAGAGGCAGTACAAGTGATGCGCCAAACAGAGCACGTGCAGAGGTTTTTGACTCTGAAGACTTCTAAAAAACAAACAGCTGCGAGATAAAAAGTGTTGCGCGTGTGCTGCGCCGCGCAGCAATAAGATGTTTGAAGATGTTTTTTCCAAAAAACAAACAGCACCTTAATCTCTGAGTGTCTGGTATCAAGTACTAAAACCTCATAAACATCACCTCTTGACTTCTCCATGGCCTCTATATTTTGATAAGAAGATCATGCATCCAGTTATATAGGCAACATAATAAATTTAAAAATTTTAACATACCATACTCTGTACGGCCTAGTAGATATTTTTCACAACAATAATAAAACTTCTTAAATATAAAGAAATAAGAGAATGATATTAGTTTGTTAAACATACGCATCAAGTTATAGACTTGTGATTTATGAATATAGATTCATTTCGCCAGCTTGTGATTCATGAATATAGATTCATTTCGCACACTTAGCGAACTCCTAATGAATCAGTTGCTTATCTGTTTTAAAAGTGGGTAATGGGATAGTCAGAATGGGCCTTTCATGGTATTGACTTGATTAATTATAGTAAAATAAATAGGATATGCATATTTTTAGAACCGATGTATGTAAAATATAAACAAAATTGATTAAACAATAAAACGAGGGCGATCCTTAAGGATATTTAGCCCCAATTAGTTTACGTTATTGGGTTAAACAACTAAGACCCTCCCATCTCGAGTCTAGAAGATGTAGGCAACAACGATCCTACAATCTTCTCCCATGAACACAATGTAATGTACTGATGTGTTTTTTGTGATAAAACAAAAAGACAAAATTGCAAAAATGGTCCCTGTGGTTGTCAATTTTATGTGCTTTTGATCCAAAACGAAATGTTGGTGCACCATTGGTCCAAAATTGGATATTTCTATTGTTTTTGGTCCCTATCAACTTAAAAAGACCATTATGCCCTTATAATTTGTTTTTCCATTTTTTTATCTATTTTTATTCAAAATAAAACTCTCTCTCTCTCTCTCTCTCTCTCTCTCTCTCTCTCTCTCTCTCTCTCTCTCTCTCGGTTCTTTAACTTCATCTATTTAAACACACACATACACAAAATACACAAAATTATGAAGATCCTCGTCCGATGGAGAAAAAGAAATACGAATGGGAACAACCCCAAGGTCAATCGATGGTCCAGTGGTTCAGCTCTTTTGCTCTTCTGTCTCGGAAGAAGGATGCGAAGGAAGGGGGCTCGGTGTGGCTAGGGGTGGTGATGGCGAAGTTGTGATGGCAGCGGGTGGCTCCGCCGCTTCCTCTCTCTTCTATTAGGTAGCTTGATGAGGAACAGATAGAAGGCAGCAGCAGCGTTGGGGTGTTTGATGGTGGTGGGTCACGACAGGGGGAGGCGGAGGAGCTGCCACAGTCGACTGTGGTGGCTCTTTTCGCCGGAGAAGTGAGAAACGAGGGAGAGACGAGTTGGAGATGAAAGGGAGGTCGGGGAAGGGGTTTCGACGACATCAATCGTGGTGGGTGGTGGTGGTTTGCATCGGCGATGGGTGGCAGTAGACTTTTGGTTTTCTTGCTTGCTCTAGAGATTCACGACGATGAAGGGGAAGTAGCGGCCGGTGGGAGGTGTTGGTCGTTTATGGTGGAGCAAAGTGGCCAGAAGGATCATTGAGGTGGGAAGTAGAGTGGTGTAACTTCTTCCTGCTCTTTTTCCGGCACTACAATGGAAAAGATAAGGGGTCAGTATTTTAAGAGATGGGTATAAAGATCATGAGAGAGAGAGAGAGAGGTGGGTTTATTTTGTTTTTGGTTTTCATTTTATTTTAAGAATAAGAAAATAATAAAAGAAATTAAAATATAATTATTTAAGGGGCATATTAGTCATTTTAGGTGGGATGTGGACCAAAAACACAAGAAAATATAATCATAGGGACCAAAACCACACAAGGTATCTAAAATTGGACCAGTGGTGCACCAACATTTCGTTTTGGACCAAAACTACAAAATTTTGCCAACCACAGGGACCATTTTTGCAATTTTGTCAAACAAAAATCTAAAAAAGTGAATGATGGAAAACCAAGCCTAACGACATTAAGCAAACAAAAACCATTTCACAACTAAAGTGATAAATAATTAAAATACTATAGTGCCCCGACATATCTCTCTAACAAATTATTTATTTCCACTCTCTCCAAGGGTGCAAGACCGAAGGGAAGAGATAGTAATCAGTAGGAAAAATAAAACCGCAGGAAGGAAAAAGTAAAACACATACTTTTTTGAGAGGTCGATGATGATAATGTATGTCGAAGTGAAAAAACGCAGTGGAGAGGTCGATGATGATGATGGAGGTGAAAAAACGAAGTTGAATAGGCAAGGGCAATTTGGGAAAGTTTTTTGTTTCTCTCCCAATCAGCCCAATTTTACGGATTGTTTTAGGGGAAGATACTTAATAATGACCGACAATCAGGATTAAATGTGGTTGCATTGGAATGATAATATTAATGACGAACAAAAAGCATAAGTATTATTAATGACGAACATCCATGTTCTTCATCAAAGGAAAAAACCAGATAGATAATGGAAATACAACAAAAACTTGGAAAACGTATATGATGCTTTACAACACTAATTGGTTGTTCCCCTTCAGACAAACTTGATAGAAAATGGAGTTCTGACCGAGTATTTACCAAAACCCCAAGTTATAGATCCTTCCGCATATGGAGTTGTGACCTCAAAATCTCTATTCCGAATGAAGAACGTTTGATATGTCAAACTTTGATTCAATTCAGTGAATTTGAGCTCCGTAGTGCTAATACCTAAAAATAGACCATCTGGAATAGAAAAACTTGTGATGGTGTAATTTGAATTAGCTTCACCAACATTAGTTACTGTCCTTTCGAAGGCTTTTCCATCACCAACTCCAAGAGTAACAACGAAGGATGGATAGTTAATTTCTGCTTCTTCTATTACTTCTGAGCACGTAACTGTTTTCTTCATGATGATTCCAACTTGTTTGCTTGTATATCCTAAACCACACAAAGAAGGTATGTAATCATCCGGTTTTATATCAAAAATCAACCCTGGATCATTAGCTTTTGACGGGTTGACATGACCTGAACCTATGGCAAAGATGTCAGCAGGGAGCTCTCTCTCATCCTCGATTGGGTCACCATTTAGGTTTACCTGACCTGCTGATGTCATGATTGCTGACTTAATAGCTGCAGGAGACCAATTAGGATGTTCGCTCTTCAACAATGCTGATATCCCAGCAAGATGAGGGCATGCCATTGATGTACCTGAAATCATGTTAAATGTTGATTTTGTTTGTGTCTTGTTTTCAACAGATAAAGGCCAAGCTGCAAGAATGTTAACTCCAGGGGCGATAATGTCCGGCTTAATGATACCCGGGCTTGCCATGCTTGGCCCTCTGGATGAAAAAGATGCAACCTCGGGAGCTGTTCTATTCCTAATTACAGTTCCATGAAATGTGATTGTAGCAACAGGAGATGGGATTGAAATCAAATATGTCTTGATTGAGACACCGGATTCATAACCAACATGTGATGCAGGAAGAACATGAGCATCTGCTACTGTGGAAACCCCATCTGTGACTTGATTATGTAGAATCATGGCAGCTCCTCCTGCCTCTTTTACTGTTTGTCCTTTGTCAATTCTTGATATGCCACCACCTCTATCACATATCACTACCTTTCCTTTGACATCAATGTTGGTTAATGATCCTTTCGCACACCATGCTGCCTGTTGACCACCGGTCAAACCTGGGTAAACCAGAGGCAAAAAGTTTTGAGGGAAATCTTGTGGTTGAAATAAAGATTCTCCATTAAACAAAGCCTTGTTTCCAAGATGAACAGTTGCTCTAATGTTTCTATCAATGGTAGTAGCACCAACTGTGAGAATCCATGGGGCTTCATTTGATAATGTTGAATTGAATGGCCCGGAGTTTCCAGCTGAAAAACTTACAAATATTCCATTTTGAATAGCACTAAATGCACCAACCGCAATACCATCTTCATAAAATGGAACAGAAGCTCCACCAAGTGAGAGTGAAATCACATCTACTCCTTCTGCAATGGCTGCATCCATGGCTGCTAAGATGTTACTTTCAGAACAAACAAAATCATCACAGACTATACATGGCCACGTGAGCAAGGGGTGCCATCCCCACTGCAGTGCCTTTAGCCATTCCAAATACATTAGCACCATCCACAAAGCTTCCAGCAGCAGTACTAGAAGTGTGGGTCCCATGTCCCTCTTTATCAAGCGGTGAACTATTAGTAAAATCCCTTGCGCCAATCAACTTGTTGTTACACCCTGCAACTTCACATTTACCTTTTCATTTTTGAGGAGGAGGAGGGACTCCTTTGTCATCAAAAGAAGGATGACCTGGTGTAATTCCAGTGTCTAGAACCCCGATTATGATTCCCTTTTCGTAGTTTGATCCTCTCCAGAATCCGAAATTTTGGTGTAACCCCAAGAATCTGGGAGTATGTGTTGTATGGAGCTTGTACATTCTTTCAGGTCTTGCAGATACAAATCCATCTATAATTTTCATTGCTTTTACTTAATCTACAGACAGCTTGGCTGCAAACCCTATGAACACATTGTGATATGCATGAATGATGCTCGGTTTTTTATTCGATCCGATACTGCTTGATGATAAAAAAGAATGGTACCAACTTTGTAGGTCTTCTGGTTTAGCAAACACTATGCCATTAGGAGATTCTAAATTGACAATATATGTTTCTGCTTGGTTGGCATTTGCAGAAGTGGTGTCAAAGATGCTTGTGAAAGTTAGGATGAATAAAACATAAAGTTCTGGTAAAACGTTATATCTCTTCCTCTCCATGATTATTGAAAATTTTGAGCGTATTTCTCATCTGATGTTTATGGATTCGATATATATAGCACATGGGGGATGTTGTTAGAGACAGCTTACTTCATTGATGATATTTGGATTTTGGCATTTCTTTTTGGATTGTGGGATAGGGCTGATTTAATTGGGTGAATGGATGATATATATTTGATCTTTCTTGTTGGATTTTGGGGAAGTCTTACAAAGTAAGCAGCGATAGTGATTACTTTAATAGTAGCATTGTTTGAACTGTTCTAACAAGGAGGGAGTAAGTTACTTTCATATCTTAGCAAGAATACAAGCACTGTTTTTAATTGACTGTTTTCTTGATTTTGGCAAAAGTTAAGGACTGGGATTATTTTGCCTTAAATATAGACAACCATGGAGGTCCACTTTGAAGCCCATTTATGATTTCGTAGCCCATCAGCCCATTTCACAAATCATTTAAAATTTATGGCTACTTTATGATAAACAAAATCATATTGCATTCATATAGATAACTTATTTAACTTTCTTTAGTCTTGGGAAATAGAATTGAGGTTATTTTGGTTGGTTGGCTCTCTGTGTACGCAATTTGACCATCATTTCCATGTTGACCTTATATATATATATATATATATATATATATATATATATATATATATATATATATATATATAAATGAACATGTGTTTTTTTATATATTTAATATGCAGATCTACATCTACCAAAAGCTAATTACTTTTTCTTATTATAAGTCTTTGGATCTAACTACAAAAACTTAACCCAAAACTTAAAATGTTCAAGTAATATGTATTTGCTAAAACTACTTACACCCTCATACAAATTATAAACAAAGTTCTTAAAAAACCATATGTAGCAAATTACTCTAAACCTCCATCTTGACTTCTCCACGATCTGTAACCGCCTGTCACAGATGACTATCAACACACGCCAAATTTTCATCCAACTACTCCTTACATTCTTTGTTACCATTGCTGCAGGAGGTACTGAATCTAAAAAGACACGTGTCAGTAGTACTGGCTTGAAAAATTACATTGTCCATGTAAAGAGACAAGTAGCTTCGCTATCTACAGTAAGCAGCGAAGATCTGAAGGCATACCATCGATCATTTCTTCCCTTTAATATTCGTCTTGCATCCTCGGAGAAAGATGAACCATTACTTTACTCATACCAAAACGTGGTCAGTAGTTTTGCAGCAAGACTCACTGATGCCGATATTGAAGCCATGAGTAAAAGAGATGGGTTTGTATCAGCTCGTGAAGAAAGAATCTTGAAGCTTCAGACGACTCATACCCCAAAATTCTTGGGTTTGCATCAGAAATCAGGAAGTTGGAAAGAATCCGAGTTTGGGAAGGGTAGCATCATTGGAATATTAGATGCTGGGATTATACCAAATCTGTTGGGGTTGGAAAACTCTTCTATTAAACACTAAAATAGAATTACAATAGGAGGAGCAACTCTCATACTCAACTATTACAAAAAACCAACCCTCTCACTAACACTCTCACTCTAAGTGTTATATTATCTGTTTCTCTGTGTTTGGGATGCTTTACAACTGAAGATGAAGCCTCTATTTATACCCATGGCAGCCACCATTTGTGTAACCTTCATTAATTGTGTTCATCATAGGGTAGGAAGAAAAACTTGTCACTGTAGGTTTCATTTTGTCAACAAAGATGGCTACTGTAGCTTTGGAGGCTTTGGAGGCTGGAATACAACAAATCTCCCCCTCCAGTCTTCGCCCAACAATCCTCATCACAACTATGTCAACACATAGTTTGTGTTTATCTTGTGTCACCACCTTTGTCAACATGTCTGCAGGATTGTTGTTGGTGTTGATCTTTAACAACTTCAATTCTCGTCCCTCAATTGCTTCTCTAAGCCAGTGATAACGAATATCAATATGTTTTGTGCGGGAATGGTACATCGAGTTCTTACTCAGGTCCATAGCACTCTGACTATCGCAATGAATGATGTACTCTTCTTGTGGAAAGCCTAATTCTTGAAGAAACCGTTTCATCCATATAAGCTCCTTCCTAGCTTCAACAGCAGCAATATACTCGGCTTCTGTTGTTGACAATCCGACACACTTCTGTAACTTGGATTGCCACGAGATAGCTTCCCCTGCCAAAGTGAAAATGTAACTTGATGTAGATTTTCTATTATCAAGATCTCCTGCCATATCGGCATCTGTGTAACCTTCCACGATTGGCTTTGCTCCCCCGTAGCATAAACATAGTTTCGAACTACCCTTTAGGTATCAAAGTATCCATTTGACTGCTTCCCAATGTTGTCTTCCCGGATTAGCTAGATATCTACTCACAACACCGACAGCATGAGCAATATCTGGTCTTGTACACACCATTGCGTACATAAGACTTCCTACGGCTGAGGAATAGGGGATTGCCTTCATCTCTTCTTTTTCTTTCTCAGAAGAGGGATATTTTTTCTTACTCAACTTGAAGTGATTATCCAAGGGTGTTCCAACGGGCTTGGCATTTTCCATGTTGAACCTTTTGATCACATGTTCAACATACTCCTCCTGTGATAGGAACAATTTTCTAGATTTTCTATCACGGATAATTTTCATGCCCAGTATCTATTGTGATGGGCCTAAGTCTTTCATATCAAAGAACTTATACAAATCCTTCTTCAAGTTGTTGATCATCGTTGCATCTTGACCCACTATCAACATATCATCCACGTAGAGCAAAAGGATGACAAAGTTCCCATCTGGAAACTTCTTCAGATAGACGCTGTGGTCTGCAACGGTTCTCTTGTACTCGTGATTCATCATAAATGAATCAAACTTCTTGTACCACTGCCTTGGGGCTTGCTTAAGACCATAAATACTCTTCTTTAATTTGCAGACGAGATGCTCTTTCTTTGGGACTTTAAAGCCATCAGGCTGCTCCATGTATATTTCTTCATCCAAATCACCATGGAGAAAGGTTGTTTTCACATCCATCTGCTCAAGTTCAAGATCTAGACTGACAACTAATCTGAGTACAACTCGAATAGACATCATCTTCACAACCGGCGAAAAAATTTCATCAAAGTCGATTCCTTCTTTTTGTTGGAAACCTTTGACAAAGAGTCTCGCCTTATACTTCATAGTATTTCTCTTGCCGTCTTTCTTCAACTTGAAAACCCACTTGTTTTTTAAGGCTTTCTTTCCTTTGGGGAGTTTCACCAACTCATATGTTTGATTCTTCTGCAAAGAATTCATTTCTTCTTCCATGGCCTTCTGCCAATTTGCTTTGTCAATATGAGATTGAGCTTCTTGAAAGCTCTCTGGCTCCCCCTCACTAGTAAGAAGGATGTACTTTGAAGTCGGATATCTTGTTGATGGAGCACGAACTCTTTCAGATCGTCTAACTTGAGTTCCTTCGTTTGTAACTTATGGAAATGTATCTAAAGTATCATGGGGTGGAAGCTCCCCCTGCTCAACACCTTCTTGATTTTCATCATCAACTTCTTCATCCTCTTCTTCAGTGGAAACATCATCTTTATTTTCAGATATTATATCTGACACTTTGGAGCTTTGTTGTTTGTTAACCGGTGCCTTGAAATCATAATACTGGTTTTCAAAGAAAACCACATCTCTACTTCGAATAACCTTCTTTAGTTCTGGGTCCCATAGCCTGTACCCGAACTCTTCATCTCCATATCCAATAAAGATGCATGGAGTGGATTTGAGGTCCAACTTCTTCCGCAATTCACTTGATGCATGTGTGAATGCCTTGCACCCAAATACTCTCAAGTGAGCATATGAGAGGTCTTTACCCATCGATATCTTCTCTGGAACTTCAAAATTCAGTGGAACGGAAGGTGACCTATTTATTAGATAGCAAGCTGTCAATAAAGCTTCACCCCAGAATGGCTTTGGGAGTTTAGTCATGCTGAGCATGCATCGAACTTTTTCAACAATGGTGTGATTCATTCGTTTTGCTACACCATTGTGTTGTGGGGTTCGTGGGACAGTCTTTTCATGTCTGATACCATGTTCCGTGCAATATGTAGAGAACTCACAGGAATAGTACTCGCCTCCATTATCTGATCGGAGACATTTCAATTCCTTGCCTGTTTGTCTTTCCATAATTGCATGAAAAGCTTTGAAGCGGTCCAATACTTGGTCCTTCGTCCTCAGACAGTATGCCCATACCTTTCGTGATGCATCGTCAATGAATGCCACAAAATACCGACTTCCACCAAGAGATTCTACTTCAATGGGTCCACATACGTCAGAGTGGACAAGGCTCAACAACTCAGAGCGGTTCTTTCTTGTGGAGCTAAAGGAAACTCTATGTTGTTTCCCAAATAGGCAGTATTCACAAGGATCCAGGGCAACATCTTTTGCCATTGAAATGGACTCCTTCTTTGCAAGAGTCGTCAATCCCTTCTCGCTCATGTGGCCTAGTCTTCTATGCCACAAGTTTGGTGATGTCCCTTCTTCAATAACATTGAGACTTGGTTGAAGTAGCTTCGCATGACTTTTATAAAGAGTACCATCAAGTTGTCCCCTTGCAACAACCATAGCACCTTTTAACAACTTCCAGATGCCATTTTTGAATTGATTATCATATCCTTGAACATCAAGAGCTCCAACTGAGATAAGATTCATTCTCAGCTCTGGGACATGTCGAACATCTTTCAGCACCAATGTACATCCAAAATTGATCTTTAAATGCACATCACCAATACCAGGAATGCTTTAGAAACTAGTGTTTCCCATCTTCACAGTATCATGGTCTCCGGGTTTATAAGTAGTGAATAAATCCCGGTTTGGAGTCGAATGATATGATGCAGCACTATCAATCACTCACTCATCATTATGAGTTCCAACATGTAGGTATGTTTCCTCCTCGTATGTAACAAGGGAAACGTCTTGTGTTATGGTGACCATGGTTTCACCATTCTCCCTACTTGAATTCTGGCTTATCTCGGGCTGCTCTCGTAAGAACCTTCGGCAATCACTCCTTTTGTGGCCATAATAATTACAGTGATTGCAATAGCCTTCGAACCATGTATTTGAAGATTTACCTCACTCTCGTGATTTCCCTCGGTCTCGTGATTTCCCAAGATCTTGGGATCTTCCTCTACTTTGACCATGTCTGCCTCTACCTCTACCTCGACCTCGACCTCCAGTTCTGCCTCCGCCTCTTTCTTTGTTTTCTGACACTAGGGCAAAAGATTGGTCTGTACCAGCTTCTTTCCTTCTGGCTTCCTCATTCATTAGGGCGTCTGTGACCATCTCTATTGTCACTTTACCACCAGGGGCATAATTGCTGAGAGTAACAACAAGCGTCTCCCAATTATCTGGTAGAGAACTCAAGAGTAATATGGCTTGTTCCTTGTCTTTGAGAGCCCAATCAGCAGCACCGAGCTGGTTTACGAGATCCTGGAACTGACTCGTATGCTCGGTTATGGACGTACCACTTCATAACTTGTGGTTTACAAGGCACCTCATCAACAAGGTCTTGTTGTGTGCCGTCTTTTCCTGATACATATTCTCGAGCTTCTCCCAAAGTTTGTACGCGTTTGTCTCTTGAGAGACATGATGAAAAACATTATGGTCGATCCATTGTCGAATTTGTGCCACCGTTTTCCTGTTTATTCTCGTCCAAACTTCGTCTGTCTTCGTGTCGGGTTTGACGCCTTTCTTTTCTATAGGCTCTGCTAAATCTTTCAGATTAAGCAAATCTTCCATCCTTGGCTTCCACATGTTGTAATTTGTGGGCGTAAGTCGAACCATCGTAATCGTACTTGTATATTCCATCGAAAATAATTACAAATTTATTTTACAAATATTTCGAGGAAAATTTAGATAAAACCAAGCTCTCGGTTGGATTCGGGAGCGTCAAAAATGGTGGGGTAGAGTTTTCCAGGGTTAAAATATACTTTCTGGAAAAGTTATGTGCTAATTTGTAACTTTTCCGAACAATAGGGGGTAAACTGTAATTTTCGGAACTTACAGGGGCCAATCTGAAACGTTTCTGCGAACTAGGGACCTTTCTGAAACTTTTCAGAACTCCAGGGGCGAAAACAGTTATTTTCAGAACAACAGGGACCGAACTGCAGTTTTTCAGAAACAGAGGCACATGTGTACAACTTTCTGGAACTTCAGGGGCTAAACTGCAACTTTCTGAAATTCCGGTCAATGATGACGTCACTAATGACGTCACTCCTTCTCTGGCGGTCTTCTCCGGCCACCTGGTTTTTCCGGCGACTTTTCCGGCGCGATTTGACCAACTTTGACCGGCGATTTGGAGGTCTTCCCGTGGTCAAAAAAATTACGAAAAATATACTTTCGAAATCCTTGAAGCGAGACCTTTCTAATGGTTTTCCCAGAAACTGATTTTGAGACAAAAAAAAATTGACGAAAAAACAGAGAAATTCTTAAAGAATTCCCTGGACACCAAACCAAGCTCTGATACCAGTTGTTGGGGTTGGAAAACTCTTCTATTAAACACTAAAATAGAATTACAATAGGATGAGCAACTCTCACACTCAACTATTATAAAAAACCAACCCTCTCACTAACACTCTCACTCTAAGTGTTATATTATCTGTTTCTCTGTGTTTGGGATGCTTCACAACGGAAGATGAAGCCTCTGTTTATACCCATGGCAGCCACCATTTGTGCAACCTTCATTAATCGTGTTCATCATAGGGTAGGAAGAAAAACTTGTCACCGTAGGTTTCATTTTGTCAACAAAGATGGCTATTGTAGCTTTGGAGGCTTTGGAGGCTGGAACACAACAAGATCATGCTTCATTTAGCGACCATGGAATGCCACCTCCACCTTCTAAATGGAAAGGAAGGTGTGAGTTCAATGCATCAAGCTGCAACAACAAACTCATTAGCGCAAGATCCTTTACAATTGCTGCAAATGCAATGGCTTCAAATATAAGCACGACACCAATAGATGAATTTGGACATGGGACACATACTGCAAGCACAGTTGTTGAACGATTTGTTAAGAATGCAGAAGCGCTCGGTGGTGCTATAGGTGGAACAGCCGTCGGAATGGCACCGTATGCTCATCTGGCAATTTACAAAGTATGCTCCAATGGAGATTGCCCTGACAGTGACATACTGGCGGGGCTTGATGCAGCAGTGGCTGATGGAGTTGACGTGATATCAATGTCTCTTGAGTTGGATGAAAAAGTGCCCTTTTTTCAGGACAACATCGCGATAGCTTCATTTGCTGCAGATCAGAAAGGAATCTTTGTGAGTTGTGCAGTAGGGAACTCTGGTTCGATCAATGGCACTGCAACAAATCTAGCATTGTGGGTTCTAATCGGTGGTGCTAGCACCACCGATCGGAAAATCAAAGCCACCGCAAAACTGGGAAACAATAAAGAATTTGATGGTGAATCTTTATTTCAGCCGAAAGGCTCCCCTTCTTCTCCACTTTCACCACTCATGTATGCTGGTGCTAATGAGAAACAAGATTCCAAGTTATGTGTCAACGGATCACTTGAAGGTATGGATGTCAAAGGAAAAGTTGTGTTGTGTGAGAGAGGTGTGACAGCAAGAATAGACAAAGGAGAAGTGGTGAACAAGGCAGGTGGTGCAGCTATGATATTGATGAATCAAGAAGAAGAAGGATTCAGCCTAAATGCTGATGAACACGACCTCCCTACAACACATGTGAGTTATGCAGCTGGAGAAAAGATCAAAGCTTACATTAACTCAACAGTAATACCAATGGCAGCTTTATTGTTCAAAGGAACAGTAATCGGAGATCCTTTAGCTCCATTTGTGGCTGCATTCTCTTCTAGAGGCCCAAATACAGTGAGCCCAAGAATTCTGAAACCGGACATTATTGGACCAGGAGTAAGCATTCTAGCAGCATGGGGAAGCATTAGCAGCAGAGTACCCTCATTTGACCTGCTGTCTGGAACGTCAATGTCATGCCCGTATCTCAGCGGTGTTGCAACACTGTTGAAAGCTACTCATCCTAATTGGACACCAGCATCTATAAATTCGGCTATAATGACATCTGCATACCTTATCAATCTCAAAGGTACACCAATAGTAGATGAAACACTCCAACCAACTGACCTATTTGCTACGGGTTCGGGTCTTGTTAACCCATCAAAAGCCAATGATCCTGGATTGATCTTGTTTAGCTGTCAAACCAACAAATAATGGGATAAAATAATAACAATAAAATTCAAGTCACTGTTACTTCATACACTAGAGATAGTATAGAGTAAGCAGGGTCGGTCCACAGGAATACGGGACTTCTTATTTAGCCATATTCTCACACATCATACAAACAAAAATTAAAATGGGGGATTGTGTTTGAACTCGAATTAAATTTCATAAATAAGCAAGATTGATAACAAAACTCAGTAAAAGAAATACATTTCCGATTCTGATTCCTATACATGTATTATGTTGAAAGATGTAATATGATTATAACTCATGTTCAATCTAGGTTGGTAATTTAGATATTAATAAACTCTAATATCCAAAATGACAAAAGTATTTTATTCAAAACAAGTTCTTCAAATAAAACTTCATTTAATTGATTCAATTCAAATAAGTTCTTGCATCAAATCATTAAATGACATTAAGTTCTTGCAATAATTACCACAATGTTTAACATTCCTCTTAAGCTTGGGAATATAAACATTTAATCTTTGATTACACTAATTTTGATCTAATTACAACCAAATAAGTGTGTGTTACTAACATCAAATCATAAAACAATTACGAATTTCATAATTTGATTAACTAGATTGATAAGAACCCTAATTCATTGATCAAGTGAAAAAGATAACCAATCAAACACATAATTAAGATCAAATCAAAGATTACTAGACATTAAACATAAGTCAAGTGCAAATTACAACCTAACAACAAATACTTAAGAATTCATGGAACAAACTATGGTCTTACTCTCGTGAAATTGTATGTGACAAAACATGCTCAATCATCTTTGTCTCACAAAATATATCAATGACCGATTCCAGCTATTTGTTGGTCAACAACAATCTTTTTTCTGAAAAATCTTTTCTAAAAATTCCCTAATATTTACCCAAATTGGTTACAAGTTTCAAACTACTTACTCTAGTCAAAGTAATTAACGTTCAGTCCCAATGTCATAAGTTCAAATCCAAGTCCAAGGGAATCTTTTGGCAGCCAAATATTCTTCCTAAACATATTATTCAATAAAGATATAAACACAAATATATACAAACTTCCTAATTACATTTTCCTACAAATAAAGCTCATGGCTTTCTTTGAAATCCGTGAACGGGCTTCCAACCAACACATCCAGACCAGATGACCTTAGTGTGCTAGATTTAAAAGGGATCCCTCGGGTTTACTTGCCCGAACCTCAAAGGCCACAGATTAGCTTTATTTGGTTATTAATTCCATGACTTTCTATGAAACCCGTGTAGCGAACTTTCAACCCAATCAGTCCCAAACAATTTTGCTTTAGGCGATTAGGTGTAGAACACCCCTCAGAGTTTACTTGTTCGAGTCCCAAAGGTCACAGATTAACTTAATAACATTATTTTTTTATTTTTTTATTTATTATTATTATTATTATTTTTAATTAAGATATATTCACTAACTAAGGTAACACATAACACACTAATTAATTTATTTGTTTGGCCTATTTCTTTATACTTTCATCCTTGACTTTTCTATTGTGGGACATCTCACGATCTATTACCGTGAGGGGCTTCTAGAAATTTTTCGGGGGACTGAAGTTAACATGCAAAGACCCGTAGGTATAGTTGGAAACTATGTCCCCAAGCAGGGTATATAAAAGGGAATGAGTAGGAAGGACTTTTAGAGCGCTGGAAGGCTCGGGACATTGAGATTTATATTCTTTTTATGAATTTTTGAATTTGGCATTTTAAGTTCAATTGAGCATTTACTACTCATAAGACCAATCATATGTCCCAAAGAATTGACTCATACCTGCTGTTATGCTCCAATGTTGACAATCTTCTCACTTTCTGTTTTGCACAAGTAGCTTCGGGAGGTGTGTTCGTGTGCGATTAACTTGCTTTAATATTTTTTCAATAAAAAGAGCAAGCTAATCTCAAGGCACATGACTCACTTACCAGCTCAACTGTTTTGAAAAGATTCGGTTGCTTGGGATTGGATCAAAAAAAAATTTATGCAATGCAAAAATTTAGATACAAAATGCAAAGAATAATAAAAATAGAATAGAAAGAAAATCTTTTTGGCTTTTGAAAAATTTTCTATGTAGAAAAAGAAAATGAAAATTAACGCAATATGTACAAAATTACATGCAACCTACATGTAACGGGATTTATGCATGGATGGATGCCCCTCCCCAAGCTTAAAATTAAGCATCGTCCTCGATGCTTGGAGAGAGGCATAGTCAGCCTATTGAGGACCGGGCGGTGGAGGATATGGTGGGAACTGTGAAGGGTAATCAGTAGGATAAAATGGAGGCCATTGGGGTTGGGATGATGATGACTGCTGCTGCGTGTGAAGGACAAGTACTCGGTGGATATCACTCAGCAAGTGATGAATATTTCTATTATGTTGCTCCTGAACGGCCCACCATTGATCTTGCTCGGTCCATCGCAGCTCTTGTTGTGCCCAACGCTCTTCCTGAAGATTACGGTAGTCTTGAAATTCGGAAGTATTTTCAGCAACACCCGTGTAAATCTCTCCTACCTCCTGCTGTAAGCTCATGTAATGGTGGTCCAAGCGTGAAAATTCTCCCATGTAAAGATTGTGTTCAGGAAAAGGAATGTGGCGAGGTGAACTGGAAGCACCTGCAGTTGCAGTTTGAGCAGAAGGAGTAGGAGTGGTGGTTGGAGGTCTACGGGCTGCAGTAACACCCAAGTTGGATTGGAGGTACCAATTGGTGGAAGGGATGTCATTGACCAATGCTAATATCTTCTTATTTCGGCTATCAATGCGTAGATATTCTTTACCATCGACTGTCCAATGGACATCCCTATTGGGGTTGCGGTGGAAGAGGTGCATGATTTCCATGACATCAAGTGATAAACGAGAACGGCCCGGAATTATATTGATTGGATTGTTGGGTAAATAGAGGCCAAGATGTTCAGCTATAATAGAAACCATGCCTCCATAATGAAGCTGGCCACCGTTGCTCATGGCATTTCTGAGCATTTTCTGAACTACCCAACACCCGAAATGATGGACTTCATCGGGCTTGTTAATCATGCACCATAAAACTTCTAATTCTTTTTTGTTCGCTTTGCTAATCTCTTCTCGAGGAAATAAGAGAGAAGCAATAATCCGGTGGGTGACCTTCAAGACCGGATGAATAATGCTAGAAGCTTTTGCTGTGCCTGACTGATACTCATTTTCACAAGAGATACTTGTCCAAAACCTTCCACAGTTTTGCTCAAATACAACATTTTTTCTGCCCTTTGTTGTATATACATCCCTTTTCGCTTTTGGAGCACCAATAATATCACAGAGAGTATCAGCATGAATCTTATGGGATTGATTGAGCAAACGGAAGGTGTGGATGTGTGTTTGGTAATCGAAGGTTATGGATGACAAGAATTCCAACATTGGTGTTTGATAGCTTACAGCATGGAGATTCAATAACCCTTCCCAACCAATGTTCTTCAAGAGCTTGTGGACACCTTTATAGATATGAAGGTCCTTGAGGGCTTGGATGTCCACAAAATTTTTGTGCCCCTTTTACCCTTTGAATAAGGTTTGCATACAAATCTCTTGTTGATTTGGACTAAAAAAAAAAATAAGACCAAATTCATAGGGGTTTTCCATGGGAGGTTGGTCTTGTTCATCATTGGCTTCTTGACCACCCATATGTGAGGTCCCAATTCTTGCCCTTTTTCCACGGGATGCCATTGCCCTAATGAATTCAACAAAGTTTTGCACACAATGTTGGATAATTTTGAACTCTAAGGTATGCACAAGAACTAGCAATATCACCAAAATCACCCCAAAATCTAACTATATGCACAAGTAAAGAGTTTGGAACAACTATACCAATTTTTGCTTGAAAATGGTGGTTGGGTGATGTCCAATGCTTCCCTAAGCTTTCCCAAAGCGTATCCTACAAGAAATTGCAAGCATTAGGTCGAAATTTGGAGACCCAAAATGTGACACCAGTCAAATTTTGGTCAAAAATAAATTGATCAATAATCGTAATTGGGATGAACCAAGTGGTAGAGTTTGTAACAAGGTTTCCAAAAATATAAAGAACACTGAAATCCGAGTTATAACGAAGAAGTTATGACCAATCGAAAATCCGTGACAAAACCGGTAAAACACTATTCAGTGTAAAAACTGAATTTTCGATAAAAGGCTTTTTAGCCTTAAGAATCTAAATGAAAGTTGTAGAATATGTTAAACCGAGAACGTTCATAAAAATAACGTCAAAATCTGACTTCGTATGAGGAAGTTATGATTTTTCTAAGTTTCGGTTTAGCAGTAGACAGCTAAAAATTCGAAATATAAATCGATCGATATTTAGCCGACGCAACTTAAACGAGAATTGAAGGTCTCGTCAAAAGTAGCACAACGGTAAAAAGACAGACGAAAACGGACGTCGGATGAAGAAGTTATGAATTTTTAACGGATTTCCTGTCCCGGTCTGTTAAAAATAATAATATTAAAAATAAAGTCAAAATCAGCCAACGAAGTCTAAACTAAAGTCGTAGAGTATAATTTTACCTATGCGTGCATATAAAGAACGCCGAAAACGGAGCTCGTATGCCAAAATTATGATTTTCGCAAGTTTTTGGCACGAAAATCAAGAAAATCTTGAAAACCGGGCAATTTTGCATAGGTGGCTTCAGACACGTCATCCTCGCATGCGAGCTTCCACGTGTCGACTGCTGATAGGACCGAAGTTCGCGTGGCGCCTTCTGATTCGACCAAGTCCGCGGTCCACTAAGCCTCGGACACCTTCGCATGAGACACACCGCACACACTCCTCGGATGACCCTCGAACCCTCGTGCCCTCCTCCCATTGGACCGAAGTTGGGTCCAGTCCGAAGCTGCCAGCTGCGAGCCACCTGTCCGAAGCAGCCCCTCCCTTCGCCACCTGTCCGAGGCACGTGTCTCGTTCCCTTTGCTTCGGATCCGAGGCTTCGGACTATAAATAGCCCGCGAGACCCTCCGGGTTTTTACACTTTTCCACC